TTCTCTAACTGTGCGTGCTCTCGTGTCCCCGCAGCCTGCGACTGCGACCCCGAGGGCTCTCAGTCGGGTCAGTGTAAGGAGGACGGTCGCTGTGAGTGTCGCCCGGGCTTCGTCGGCGCCCGCTGCGACATGTGCGAGGAAAACTACTTCTACAACCGCTCGGCCCCGGGCTGCCAGCAGTGCCCCTCCTGCTACAGTCTGGTCAGAGACAAGGTGAGCACGCCTCGAGTCAAACATGGCCGACAGGGAGCGCTGGGTGGAGCGTTTTGATGATTCTGAAACGAGCGTTTTCTGTGTGTGCAGGTGAACCAGCAGAGGCAGAAGCTGCACGACCTGCAGACTCTGATCGATAACCTGGGCTCGGGTCGGGACACGGTCAGCGATAAGGCCTTCGAGGATCGCATGAAGGAGGCGGAGAGAGCCATCATGGAGCTGCTGGAGGAGGCTCAGACCAGCAAAGGTAACACACACGACACCTGCAGCCTCAGGTTGAAGCTGCTGCAGCATCTCATGACGAACCCGTCCACACAGCAGCTGCACGCTCCAAATGAAAGAGCAGATCTTTAATATTTATTTAATTCCTCGCTCCAACATCTCACTCTTCCAGGGGTGGAGCAGCGATTTTAAAAGTGCGGGTGTTCTAATGTTAGTATATTAGCACCCTCTAGCAAATCAACACATTCTGTTTCATTTAATGTCCAATAACTAATGTTAGCTGACACATCACACAACAAGACAAAGTTACAAAAGATAATTAGACACTAACTTTATGAACATCCATTGTGAGTAACCCAGTTAGATCTAAAAACAGATTCAAAACTGCTCTTTGTGATGCTTTTATTTTGCTTTTCTTATTGCCTTATGCCTCAGTCTCTTTATTTCCGGTCTTCATATATAATGTGCTTTTATTTTGAAAACCTGCAAAGAGGACTTCCGCTATATCGTAAAGTTACGGGAGTAAACACATACAGCTAAAAGAACAACCAAGAGGAGAAAATGTTACACTTACGTTGTTTTGTGAGGTGGATTTATCTTTCAGAAGGATGCTACATGTAGCATGTATTCATTTGTTAGCTCTGAGCTCTGACTCAACCAGTTATGAGTGACAGGAGGATTAATCCACGTAACTTTACCGTGCTTCAACTGTAACCGAACAGATATGATTGGCTTAATTGTCACTTTATAAATCTTACGTGACCAATAGGTTTTCATCAATGACTCCACTGGTAAAAAGTGTTGGGGATGAAATTATGTTTCAGTGAAAGTGTGGGTGTCGCAACACCCACGGGAGAGACGGGCCTGCCCTCTTCCATCGTGGCGCAGCGCCCTCTCCTGCAGCTTTCAGGAACATTCCATGCTAACACGTTTCATGTTAACACGTTTCATGCTAACATATTTCATGCTAACACATTTCATGCTAACACATTTAGAACCATCCCAGCACTGACTCAGTCATTAACCTTTGACCCTTCCCCTGCAGACGTGGACCGAGGCCTGCTGGACCGTCTGAACAACATCAACAGCACTCTGACCACTCAGTGGAACCGGCTGCAGAACATCCGCAACACCGTGGACAACACCGGCACGCAGGCCGACCGAGCGCGCAGCCGAGTGCGAGATGCCGAGGACCTGATCGATCGAGCCCGGCAGGAGCTGGACAAGGCCAGGGATGCCATCAGCAAAGTGGTGAGTGCTACGCCGTTGTCATGGCAACTGTGAATGTGACTTTTGCTGAACGCCCAACATTGCCCCTGGTTAAGAGCTAACGGAGTCTTTGTCGTCGGCAGGACATCAAAACACCGAGCACCGGTGATCCAAACAACATGACGCTGCTGGCTGAGGAGGCGCGCACACTGGCTGACAAGTAAGACTGACGCACACACGCACGACGTCAGCCTGATTCAGGGGTCAGGGGTCAGACGAGAACCAATGAGACTGAAACACGGTTCTTTGAAACAGCAGATCTGATGTTTGATTTGTCTGTTTTAATGTCTTCAAAGAATCAAAGAGAGGAAACAAAATGATGACATCATCACGATTCAAAGAATGATACATAAATAACCTGAAAGTGTGAGCGTGTCTGCAGTATGTCGACTTCCCTGACGTCACCTTCATGCGTTTTTTTTTCTTTCTCAGGCACAAGATGGACGCCGACCAGATCGAGAAGATCGCCAAAGACGCCAACGACACGTCGACCAAAGCGTACAACCTGCTGCTGAAGACTCTGGACGGAGAGAGCAAGACGAGTCAGGAGATCAACGAGCTCAACAAGAAGTGAGTCACCGCCGAGTGCCGCGTTACCCTTTACCTCCGTCAGGGAGAATGTGTGGATGTAACATCTGCTGTGAATGTTGCATTCAGGTACAACGAGGCGAAGGAGCTGGCTAAGAATCTGGAGAATCAGGCCAACAAGGTTCAGGCTGAGGCTGAGGAGGCCGGGGACAAGGCTCTGAAGATATTTGCCAACCTGACGAGCATCCCGGCGCTCGACACCAAGGCTCTGGAGGTGACGTCTCCGTCATAACGTCTTCCCTGGTTTTCATGGTGTGTGTTTGACTTCCTGGAGGATTTAACGAGTCTGTGTGGTTTTTTTTTTAGGATGAAGCCAAAAAGATCAAGAAGGAGGCGTCGGACCTGGACAAGCTGATCGACAAGACGGAGAAAGAGTACAACGACCTGAGAGACGACCTGAAGGGCAAAGAGCAGGAAGTGCGCAAACTGCTGGACAAAGGCAAAAGTGAGCAGCAGGTAAGTCGACCACAACGTCCGACACCGACTTGTGGTCAAACTGAAACAGGCAAAGGACTTGGTTCTAAAACACACTGAAATTAATACTGACATCTCTGCATGACCTGAAAATACATTAGCAAAGAGATTAAAGGTGCCACCTTGTCCACAGGGGGCCCCAAACTCAAAGTTTGAACTATTTTCCCGCTTTAACTTGGAACGAATCGTCCCTCAGGAGGAAGGACGCTCACGGTCTGTTTTGATGTCGTGTGTTTTGTTGTTGTTGACGACGTCTGGTTTGTTTGTTCGTCCCTGCAGACTGCCGATCAGCTGTTGGCCCGAGCGGACGCCGCCAAAGCTCTGGCAGAGGAGGCGGCAAAGAAGGGTCAGTCCACGTTCAGAGAGGCGGAGAGCATCCTGGAGGATCTCCGAGGTACGTTTGAGGACTTTTCATGAGCCGTGAATATTCCTGGATTCTCCCCCGTTTTGTGGTAAATTAAAGTTTAAATAAATGTTTTATTCTGAAGCCAAGAAGTGTCGGAGAGAAAATTAGTAAAAATTTGACGGGTAGAATTTTAGATTTGCAAAGAAAGAGGGGAATCATGGGAGTGATTCCCCAGCAGCATCAACATCATCTTTTGTTATTGTTTTGATTGAGAGCCCCCTGGTGGAGGAGTTTATACACTCTGTGTTTGAAGGAGCACTTAGTGTTTAAAATGGGTACTGCAGTCCAAATCCAAAACATCAGAGAGAGCTGTTACTTTTGTTCTTCAACGTTCTTAACTTCCTGCAGACTTCGACAAGCGTGTTAATGACAACAAGACCGCCGCTGAGGACGCCCTGAAGAAGATCCCCGAAATCAAGGCCATAATCATTGCTGCCAACGATAAGACCAGGCAGGCGGAGGCAGCGCTCGGCAACGCGGCCAACGACGCCCGAGACGCCAAGAACAAGGCAGAGGAGGCGGAGAAGATCGCCAGCAACGTGCAGAAGGTATGACACACACAAACGACTCTGTTTAGCGTTTCAAATCAGAACTTTTTAATCCGATCCTGATTCAATCCACGTGAGGGTTAATTTATAATGTAAACCTTCTAAATTTACGACTTTATTCTCGTAAATGTATGACTTAAATCTTATACGTTTCTACACCTCTGAGATTTCGAGAATTAAGTCCTAAATATACGAGAATAAAGTCGTTAACGTTTCCTTCACGTGGCACTAATTATCCGCCAAATGTCACAATCTGGTTAGTGTGCGTTATCCTGTCAAACTGGTCCACAAACAAGTCATCAGAGCAAGGAAAACACAAGCAGCGCTTCTACTGCAGAGCTCCCCGTCTGTGACCTGTGTCCTGTGTCCTCACTGTTAAAAAATGTTGTTTCCTCTGTTCCCTCTTCAGGGCTCAGCTAAGACCAAAGAGGACGCCGAGAAGGCCTTCCAGGAAACCAACAAGCTGGACGGGGAGGTGGACGACATGATGGATCAGCTGAGCACCGCTGAGCGGGAACTGGCCAGTAAGAAGGCCGCGGCGGACCTGGACATGATGATGGCGGGGATGGTACGGGTCGAGCCGCCGGGTTTTATTCAAACCAGAGATTGTTGGAAACGTTCTTTTACGACTTTATACAGTCACTTCAGACATGAACGCACAGTCGTCATTTATACGTTTAAAAAGTCGAGGGGTTAGAGTGCTTCACAAATACAGGAAATAAAACACAACATAAAGTGGTTCAATAAGTTTTAATCTTCCGTCAAAGACGTTTGTTCATGTTTCAGCTGGTGTCCAAACAGCGATGGACTTAAGCCCTGTGTCTATCCAGTGTTTCTTTCTGAGCGCCAGCGTCTTTTTTTCAATTGTTTTCAGTGAACTCTGATTTGAACAGATGCTTCATGTCGCTCTCGTCTCTGATGTCAGAAATTTTTTTTTTTTACTGTTTCAAAGACAGATTGGTCTAAGTTTGAAGGAACGAGTTTTAAAGGAATATAAACAGTCATTTTGTGAGTTTAATCAACCCTGTGCTGTGTCTCTCAGGCGTCAGACAATGCAAAGGAGGCGGAGGACAACGCCCGCAAGGCCAAGAGCGCCGTCAAGACCGTTCTGAGCACCATCACCGCCCTGCTGGATCAGCTGGGTAAGAGCAGTTCAACACTCCCTTTGCATGTACAGGACATGACCAGCCAACCAAGATTTTAAACAAAGACAGTCCTGCTTTTTCTTAAGAGGGCGCCAAAAAGACCCGAAACCAAAGTGTTCAGGAACAGACCCATCTCTATTTAATCGACCTTTCTATTTGCAGTTTGGGTATTTGGCGGCTTCATGTTGAGACGCTCTGAAACACAGTAAAGAATCGTGTTTGTCTCCATGAATGGATCAGAGCGCCGGCAGATCAATCAGAGCGACACGTGGCCGTTTCTATGACCGGTTCAGACTGGTCGGAGTCCGGCCTGTCAGCAGGTCTCGTGTCCAAAGTTCGCTAAAGGGTTAATGTCCTTCTTTGTCTCCTCTCCAGGAAACATCGATAAGGTGGACCTGAGCAAGCTGAACCAGATCGAGGAGTCCTTGAAGAGCGCCAAGGGCAAGATGGCCAACAACGAGCTGGACAGGAAGCTGAGTGAGCTGAACGACGTGGCGAGGAGCCAGGAGGACCTGATCTTCGACTACGACCGGCAGATCCGCGAGATCCGCAGCGACATCCTCAACCTGGAAGACATCAAGAATACGTTACCTGAGGGCTGCTTCAACACGCCATCCCTGGAGAGGCCTTAACCCCGCCCACCTCCTCCTCCTCCATCCACCTCCGACACTCCCCCGTCACGTCTAACACTCTGGCAAACACGCCGCCTTTTACCAAAACAGTTTTTTAAACTTTTTGTTTCAGATTATTGTCTTTGTTTTTCTTTTCAAGACAGAAGCCAATATTTCAAGTTCGTAGCGAAGCGGAAGCAGCTGTTTCTGTTTTCGTCTTTGGTTTTTGTTTGTCCGAGACGCAGTAACGTGGTTTCAATAGCACAAACTAAACGGCTCAGAGATGCCGCGCAGAGAGGTGGAGGAACCTCGGAGAAAATCCAGAACCACAAACCCAACGTGACTGCACCGTCTGCTCCGACCGAGGAAGTTTCACTGACACAGAAGCCGAGCGGAGAGCTCCTCGCTGCGACAAACGTCTCCCGTTCTCTCGCTGACCAGCCATTTCCCATCATGCCCCGTGACACACTTCAGAGTTTGGCAGTCCTCAGCCGGCTGAATATACGGCTCCACACTGTTTGAACACTCCTTTATCTTCAGCCATGTTTTCAGACAGCACACAGTGAAGGACTCTTTACTCCCAACGCTGCGACTCGGAGCGCGGAGGAGAAGCTCCTTTCTTCAGCAGTATTTCATGCCACACGCCGCTGTGGCATTCAGTGATCTGCACACGCTCTGTCAGAGCCTAGAAGCCTCTGAAGTCCAGAAAAAAAAAGCTTTCAGATCTTGTGTGTGCCAGATAAATGAGTATCCTGTTTCAACAAGGTGTGGCTCATGGCTCAGCGTTAGAAGATCTTTTCTGTTACACTCCAGATTTTTTACTTGCGTGCACCAAAATGTGAAAATTGTGCATGGAAGACAAAACCTTACACACGCCAGGTATCATCTTGTTTCACACGACATAAGTATCTTGCTCCCAAGATCCTACAATCTTGTTTCTGTGAAGGCAGGGATCTAAAGTTTAGTTACCAAGACAGTTTCTTGTTCGTGCATTATGTTACATTGTGCTCGTGTGAGATGGATCTTGTGGGGAAATGATGGCAACTTGTGCACATCATCTTGGGTGCAGAAAAACATGAAATCTCATTGCAAAGATCCATATTTTAGCATCTTGTAGAAGTGATACCTTGTTTTTGCAACACAGAATCTTTCTCCGTAGGTACAAGATATTTTGTCTTGTGCGCAAGATATGAGATTGTGCACGTAGAATATGAATCTTGTTGATGATGTTTTGTGCACAGATATGGATCTGATGGGAGAAAAGTGAATACATTTCTAAATGTTCTGTTGTTATGGATCTTGCGCTTGTATGCGCAAGATGTCACTCGTACAATCTAGATGTCATCAAGATATAAGTTTGTGAATAATATTAGCTGATATCTTGTTACCAAGATCCATATTTAATGCTCTTAAGTTAGTCTCCTATTACAAAGATATCTTGTTTTCAGTATCTTGAGTCGTAAGATATAATGTCTCATGCACAGGATATTAAATTGTGACGAGGATATGGATCTTGTGTGAACAAGATGGTAACATGTGCACCAAGTATGCCATCTTTAATGCGCAAGATATCACCTTGTACCCTCATGATGTCATCTTCAGTGCACAAGATACGGATTTGTGGGAAGAAAGGTTAACATCTCGCCACCAAAATCCATACTTCATGCTCACAAGTCAACATCTCATTCAAATAAGATATTTTCACAGAAACAGGATTTTTAGTTGGAGGTTGAAGATAATATGTCTTGTGCGCAAGATATTAAAATATGCACATATCTTGTTTCCTAAAGCTACAAATCTTGCATGGTGACTGAAAGATGTTAATTAGGATACGGATCTTGTGGGAACAAGATGGTGACTTGTGCACCCACTACTTTTTTCAGACGTCATCTTGTGTGCTCAAGATAGAGAGCATCTGGTCACGAGGAGCCATATCTTGCACACATTAGCATCTTGTTTCCACAAAGTATGCACCTCTGGTTTCAGAGATAGAAGATTTGAGATCCTAAATTGTTCAAATAAGATTCGGATCTTGCGGAGTAAGACGCAAAGGTGTGCTCGAGATATCGTGGTGATTTGATGTCCGTAACAAGTTGTGATCTTGAATGTAACAGGATCTTGTTCTACCCCCTTCCAACTGGTTCAAAGTCTTTTTGTAGACATGAAAGTGAGTCTTTCAGGACTTCAGAAGCTCTGTCTGACATTTCTCACCGCGGTCGAAGTCCATTTCATGAAACAGACGCTCAAACATTTCGTTTTTAATCGTGCTGCTTTTTCACCCGAGGTTTTTTTGTTTTTTTTACCGATCACACATTAACATTTTCTTCCGGGCTAAATCCAACACTATGCAACTTTGTACATTTGCGTAGCGAGAATTTTATCTGATACACTGGTGCTAATAATTATTTCAAATGTTATATTTTTGTGTGAATGTTTTTTATTATGACATAGAGTGAGGACTTTGTTCTTTGTGTAAATATATGCTTCAATGATTCAGGACTGGCTGATTTTGACGAAAGACAAATGCCACCACGCAGAACGGCCACGTACGTTAAGTTCGATCACAATCAATCAACTGAAACCTCCAGGTGAAATATATATAAATATCTATGATAACGTCTGTGCTATGTTATTATTATAATATGCTTGCTTGTATACATGGCTCAGTGTTGCTGCCTCAAAGCGATGCCAATATTTCGTTTGCGTTTTATCGATTCTCTGTGGGTGTTCACGAGTTAATTCAACCTAACTGAAAATGTTTTTTTAGTTCTTTTGACCCTTGTTTTTTTCCAATCAGGACATGTTTTAAAGGGGGGGGCGTCTGCTGACTCACGGCTCATTTCACTGAATGAATCTGAAGATGACTTCGCTGCAGGAGTTTAATTTAATGTTTTTGTGCCTTAATATAAAGAGCAGTTTAAATCACTGCCCTGACGACGTTCCATTTCACAAAATGTTCCTCGTTGTCCGCCTTCTCCTCATGATGGTACTGAGGCAGGGTGTTTTTAGAAATCAGGTCCTGAAGAGAGACCACTTGTAAATCTGATCCGAGTCGAGCAGGCGACAAACAAACACGAGCAGAGCTTTTAGTTGTCTTAGTTTTGACTCTCCACTGGAAACTCCTGCAGAAATATTCAATGTTTGTCTGAGCAGGACGATCCTGAATGTTCACTCAGCTCCACACACTCACTGATTTGAGATTCTCCTCCCTCCATCCGGACGGCCGCTCTGCAGGATGTGCAGCACACACCCACACACACACACACACATACACACCCACATACACACACTCACGATGTATGAACAGTATTTTAAGTTATAATAATGTACCAGGTATTTGTATTGTAACCCTGTTGTCGAAGACGGTGGTGTGCGTGCTGCACAGCGAGCAGAGCCGTCTGCACTGTGCTTTTATTCTCACGTCAGGTTTGCAGCCTTGTGAGGACCTGAACGACGACCCTGTTTGTTCACATGTGCCTGTAAATCCAAACTTAACATTTGAATAATAAAAAAATTACTACAGGAACACCCTGTGTGAATGAGTGCTGTGTCAGATAAAATGAGGAAGTCTCCCTCTCCTCTGGTCCACATTGAAGACATGGTTAGTCATTTTCTCCAGATCCACTTTGTAAACGGGCAGTATGTAAAATCCGACACCAGGGGGCTCTCAATCAAAACAATAACAAAAGATGAAGTCGAGGCTGGCGGGGAATCATGGGAGTGATTCTCTGCTACGAAGAAGATCTGTGGAATGTAACTGTTACAAGTTATATCTGAGCTAAATGTTGATGTATAAAAAGTATTTTTCCCCTCGTGATGATGATTCTGACAATAAGTCGGCAAGTCCGGCACCAAATTCTTTTCCGAGTTTCCGAGTCCTGGTTCCGACTTGAGCAGGTGTTCATGTGCATTTTACAACTCAGGTTTTTCAGATCGACACCACATGAATGCACCATAAGCCTGTAAAATCTTCGACCAATGCCTGCCATGAGGTACCAATCTGATGAACCAATCAGAGGCCTCCCTGTCTCCCTGCTCGCTCTCTACGTCTTACCTCTTCTACCTCACACTCAAAGCGCGTCACCGATGACTTTAGGAGTTTACACTGTGAATTTACTTACCGCTGAATGAGACATGAGACGACGTAGTTTCTACACAGTGCAAGAGATGAGCTGAGGTCCACTTCTGGAGCAACGCCTCCCGATGTAAGTGAGGGGGCGTGGCTTTAGAGGGAGCACATAGGGGAGGGGGCGTAGACGGAGCACTGAGGGAATGCTACTTTCAAAATCATGCTAGTTTTAGAAACCCTGCGTAGTTCAGCTTCAACTTCTCTTTAAACATTTTTTTTATTTTGAGTAATTTCCTAAAAAGAATAAAGTTTCAATTGTTGAATTACAATCAATATTTTGAGAATCATCAGCTTAACTTGGTGGAGGGGTTCAAGTATTGCTGTGAGCTGCTGTTCCTCCTCTAATAAATCTGTTCAAATGGTTTAAGTTTTAATAAATGACATGTGATGTTCATCAGGTCATTTAAGGCTTACTATGCAATTTTTTGATCCAGCAGATGTCGCCCTTGAGCACCAGCATGAAACCAAAACAACTTGCGCTGCATTGTTGTGTTAGCATGCTAATGCTAGCGATCTTTATTATGCTGGTATCTTCATACTGCATGTAAATTTACCTGAAATGAGTGTGATCTAGAAACACAGTTAAGCAGTGAGTACAGTATGTTATTCTTTTTTTCTCTAGTCCCTCAATTAAACAACTTTTATACGTGAGGGGAGGAGTCAGCCGGCCATCCTGGCGATGTAAACAAAGTGAAGATAGGACTCTGAAAACTCTGAAACATCACAGACAGTGGGACTCGGGTGTTACACCCATTGCAGACAGTCATGACTCAGATTTATTTTCAGAGGATATACTTGATTTCTACATTTAAGTGTGAAAAATCGCAGATTAAGCCTTTAACCTACAATAATGAACCCTGTGTTCTCCAGAGCTCGTTGGATCTCTGAATCAAACTCTTTCCCTTCAGGACATTTCTTTTCTCCTGTCCGACCTGATGGACGAGTCAGAGACGACACTGATCGACTTGATTTCACATGTCGCAGGTTCAGACTGGAGTTAAAGAAACACCTGACTTAATAAGAATAACTTTATTATTAATCACAGAGACAAACTCATTCTGTCAGGAGAAAGAGTCATCAATAAAGAGCATCAATAAAACACACAACACAAGTTATAAAGAGGGATTCAGATCAAGTGTAGAAATACTTTATTGATAAGTGATTATAGGTGAAAGAGGATTCACACTAACAAGATATTTTGACTCTTTATTTTGAACTCTTTGTTGTTTTCAAAGAACATAAAGCGTTCTTAGTTTGGATTCTTCAGAGGATGTTTCATCCACTGAAGATGAAGATGGTAAAGAAACATGAACAAAAGCTTTGACAAAGACAGTCTTCAGGTCTGATATTTGACATTTCAAACATGATAACAAATCTACGGAGCCATACCTTTGTAGAATGAAGCTCCAGAATGACTCAAACTTTTAAAAACAGGATTAATGTTGAGTTATTTGGAACCCCCGAAGAATAAGTAAGGAAAAATAAAAAACTGCTCTCTCTCTCTCTCTCTTTCTCAAGTGCGATCGTCATCAAACTGTCCTAACCCCTCTTAAAACAAGAACAACAATAAACCAAAACAAACATATAAGATAAGATAAGGCCATTTGTCACAGAAAATTAATCACAATCTGGATCATTTTGTTTAAAAGTTCACAGTTTGCCATTCTTACAAGTTCATGAACAAAATAATGCCGTACTAAATTATATATCACTTTTGCATATTGGCTACTTGTAAACAGAAACTTTGCAGGGCTGGAATAGTGCAGAGTCAACTGTCCAGTCCACATGTTTATAAAATATTCAATGAATGCATTCATTATTGTGCATAAGACACAAAAAGGACAAAAAGACGAGATAAGAATCATAAAGTTCTGCAGAAACAAAACAAAAAATGGTGACTAAAAACTGACCAGAATGCAGGAAAAGAAATGAAAGCTGCTTAAAATGTTTACTTTTGAATGTCATGGATGCTCTGTTTGGATAACCACCCGTGGTTCGGGCTGCACGTGATCTACAGATCATTCACTTTACATACAGGAAGTGAATGTGTGTGTGAGTTTGTGTTGGTTGGGTGTTTAGCTTCTGTTGAATTTGAAGGTATCATTTGGCCATGAATCTTGCATGTCCCAAAATGCCTTGAATACGATATATTAACAGAAAAAATTCTGGACCTCACTATTTTCTAAACCCTGGTTACAGCCCTGACTACACCAACAAGATTAAAGATGGAACTACGATTTAGTAAGAAGAGTAAAACGTGATGATCTGAAGTTATTATTCTACAACTGTAGAGTGATTTCAGATCAGATAATAATCATTACTGTTTTATTCTCTACATGCAGGATAATAACTCATAATGCACACAAAGATACAGATGATGCTTTCAGGGACTCCTTAGAGTTCAAGTGAAAAAGTCAGAAATCAAACATTCACAGCAGCTGAAGCAACAGATGACAGTTAACCAGTTAACACGCTGAGCAGATTATCTTTAAATAGAGTCCAACAAACCAACCAATCAGGATCAAGATTTTACCTGCTGTGGAAATACTCAAAGTCATAATGAATGATTCAACAAAACAACATCACTATCACCATGACAACGCAGTCACACAACCCTAAGAGAATCAGAGACGAAGATTCAGAACATCTTCATGTATTAGTGTTCCACAGTCACAGAGATCTTCTCTGGTAAAATCTTCACTTTATCCCCAGTTCCAATGATTGGAAACATCCTCTCAGTGAAAGTGTGTGTGAAGGTGTGTATGTGTGTGTTAGTATCAGGATCAGAGAACGACAGCTCTCCTCTGTTACAGTCCAGATTCACTCTGATCCTCTGAGGATTCTTCTTCACTGAGAGATCAGTGACTGGATGTGATGAGGAGAGTGCTTTTGTATTCACCATCATAGAACCGTATTCTCCATAATCCAGACAGTTTGTTTCCCTTCCTCTTTACAGACTCTGCTATCACACCCAGTACCCAGTATGTATTGTCTCCAACCTGGACGTCCCAGCTGTGAGTCCCTGAGTTAAATCCCTCACAGCCCAGGATAGACCAGTGATGATCAAACCTCTCTGGATTATCAGGAAGCTGCTGTCTCTCTCCTGGTCTCACACAGGTCAGATCTTCAGACAGGATGAGAAATGGATTAGCAGTGTTTGGGTCCAGAATGACTGGACTGTAGGAGACCATGTCCTTCATCTTGTTCCAGATGTTGAAGGTCAGGTTGCCCAGGTGTTTGGCCTGGTCTATCAGAGCTCCTGAAGGCAGCTGTGGATCCTCCAGCAGGGGGCGCTGCTGGACTCTTTCCACTGCAGCCTTGTAGTTTTTCAGGAATGAGACGTCTTCAGCTCTCAGCTCGTCCTCTGTGTCTCTGACTGTGTGTGAAAGAGCTGCTATCTCTCTGCTCAGAGCCTCCATCTCCTCCTTCATCCTCTGACTCTTCTGCTCCTCTTCCTCCCTCAGTGCACACAGCCTGGCCTCCTCTTCCTGTTCTAGAAACTGGTGAAGCTTCTTAAACTGCTCCTTAATCTGCCTCTCTGTGTGTCGGGCCTGGACCTGAATGTGTTCTGCTGTTTGATCAAACTTCACTTTAACTTGTTCACAAACTTTTAACTTCTTCTTTACCGGCTCCAGAGTTTCCTGAAGTTTCTTCTTGTGTTGTCCAGCAGCTTCATCGATGGGTCTGAATCTGTGCTCAGAGTGTTTTTCTGAATCTCTGCAGACGACACACACCGGCTCCTGATGGTCCAGACAGAAGAGTTTGAGTTTCTCAGAGTGCAGACTGCAGAGATCCTCTGAAGCTCTCTGATCTCTCTCCTGCAGAAAACTCTCACACAGGTTCTTTAAAGCAAAGTTAGGAGGTACTCTTTTCTTTGACTGTTTTCTACAAACTGGACACTTCTTATTCTCCTTCTCCTTCCAGCAGCTCTGCAGACAGTCTTTACAGAAGCTGTGGAAGCAGGAGAGGATGACTGGATCTTTAAAGATGTTGATGCAGAACGGACAGCTCAGATTTTCCTCTAACTTGGACGCCATTTTATCTCAGATTCAAGATGAAGACAGAGCAGAGAAACAGGAAGCCACTCCCCGTCCCTGAAAGTTTCTCTCACCTTGATTGTTTTTCTTTGAAACTCACGTTCAGTTTGTGGATTCAGCAGCAGGTTGAAGTGTTTGTATTCTCAGTATACCAGTATAACAAGTACTCCCAGTATCCCCTCCTCCTCCTGTCCTCTCTCAGTGGAAGTCGTGCTGGTTTGTGTCTGCAGGTCGGTCTGTCTGTCAGCGTGTGTGTCTCTTCAGAGTGAGGCAGAATAACAGCCTGTTTCCTGGTTTGTCTCAGGTGAGACAGGTGAGGGGGCGGAGCTTCTTCAGAGCAGGAACACAGAAAACAGTCTCGT